TATATATATGTATCGGCCTGTTTTATTCATTGGATTGATACTGATAACATTAAAAAGTAACATTTAATGGCCAATACAACAGCTGATATGCATCATCCCTAATGAAAATACATAAAATAATATAACAAAAATAAAATAATAAACAATTATTTTGCTGTCATGTAGGAAATACAGGTTAATTCCTGATCTTCTAATGCTTTTTATCATTAAAAAAGTCCAAATGTCAAAAGTTAAAATGAAAAAAAAATCATATATTATTATATTAATCATATAATATAATGATTGAGCAGATTACCAGCTCACGTGAGTCGGAGGCGGTGACGAGTCTGAAGCTGGTGAAGGGTCATGCCTACTCCATCACAGGTGCAGAGGAGGTCAGAAACCAGCACTGACACAAAAATATGGATTTTATAGGAAAAACTCCAAAGAGCTCTAATGACTGTCACCTTATTGTACCTACAGGTTCATTCCCACGGCCGTCTGGTTCAGCTGGTGCGCATCAGGAACCCATGGGGTCAGGTGGAGTGGGCGGGCCCTTGGAGTGACAAGTGAGTTTCCTTAAACAGATCTTGCTCCTTCAACATCAGTCCTGAGAGTCCTGTCAAATATTTCCAATGTCTTTTTCAGTTCCAAAGAGTGGAACAGCGTCCAACCAGAGGAGAAAGCTAAATTGGTTCATTCAGCTGAAGATGGAGAGTTCTGGTAAGAGAACTTGAGCTTGTAACCCTCAACAACAACGTAACAAATATGTTGACAAATACTGACAAATCTTCCTCGTCCTGTCAGGATGGCGTATTCAGACTTCATACAGCACTTCTCAAAGTTGGAGATCTGTAATCTGACTCCAGACACTATTTCAAGCGAAGATGTGAGCCGCTGGAACTACAACCAGTTTGAAGGCAACTGGAAGGTGGGATCCACCGCAGGGGGCTGCAGGAACAACCCAGGTAAATCAAACCAACCACAATGTGCTTGAAACTAAAAGCTGTTGTTTGATCCACCATCTGACTGCTTGGTTCGTCCTCTCCAGCAACATTCTGCTCAAACCCTCAGTTTGTGATCAAGCTGGAGGAAGAAGATGATGATCCTCTTGATGGAGAGGACGGCTGCACGATCCTAGTGGGTCTGATGCAGAAAGAGAGTCGTAAAGACAAGCGGTTTGGACGAGACCTGAACACCATTGGCTTCACTATCTATAAGGTAAATGGTTACGTACAATCAGTAATTATAATGTGGGAGGCGTGACAAGAGAGTTGTCAAATGCAGCTTTATTTAAAGAGTGGTCAAAACAGGCAGGGTCAAAAACAAGGCAAACAGGTATAATCCAGGACAGACTAAAGAGTAATCCAATAATCAGGCAATGGTCAGGGCAGGCAGCAGACAATCAAAAACAGGGTAACCAGTCCAAGGTCAAAAAACAAGCAAGGCAAGGAACACGGAGAACAAGAAGACAATACTGGCGATACAATAGTCAGGCAATGGTCAGGGCAGGCAGCAGATGACCAAAAACAGGGTAAACAGTCCAAGGTAAAAAAAAAACAAGCAAGGCAAGGCAAGGCAAGGAACATGGGGAACAAGAAGACAATACTGGCGATACAATAATCAGGCAATGGTCAGGGCAGGCAGCAGATGACCAAAAACAGGGTAAACAGTCCAAGGTAAAAAAAACAAGCAAGGCAAGGCAAGGAACACGGAGAACAAGAAGACAATACTGGTGATACAATAATCAACAATGTGAGTGTGGATCAGTGCAACCTTTATAGTGTGACTGATGGCCAACAGGTGTGAATGTGTGATTGGTTTCTGGGTGAGGGATCATGGGAAATGGAGTCCGGAGAAAACAAAGATAATACAGAGATGTTTTTCACATTAATTTTCTCCAATTTCTCCAAGGATTCAAAAAAAAAAAAAAAAAAGCCAAAAAAGCATCATGAACTAAAGCAACATTCTTTCACAATATTCAACAATGAATATTCAAGATGAATCACAATATTTCAAACTTTGATTTGAAGCAATTCTCTTGAGAATTCATGATTAGTATAATTCTTCATCTGGAGTTTGGCTAAAGATTTTTTCTTAAAATGAAGTTGAAATATTGATTAATAGCCTCTGAGCTCATAGTAAATCTGTCTTGAAATTTTAATAATAATAATAATAATAATACAAATTCTGTGGAGAAAATTAATGTGATTTTACATCCAGAATGCAACTGTTTTTTAAACACACTTTTCCTTTGACATACCTATCAACTTTACAACTAATTAACATTTGTTGTAGTTAATTTTTTGTGGTGATTATAAATTATATGTGAACATTGAATAATCTAATTTTTTTTTTGTGTTTTTCAGGTTCCAAATGAGGTGTGTATGACATCTGAATGGCTTGTACATAAGAGTAGTTAGACATCACCAATGTAACCATTTGTTCTTTCGTTTTAACGATGCTAAGGAATCCCTAAAGGGAGAAAAAATTAATTAATGAATTAATTAAAAAAAAAAATAGTTGGGAAGAGAAATTATTGATGTCAACCTATTCTATGCCAATATATTGTAGTGTGGAAACCGAATGTTAAATCTAACAAAATGTTGTGCTGGACTTCTAGGGTCATGCAGCCTAATGGCACATCAATGTTCCGCATTTTGAGTTGTCTGCTAGTTTTTCCCACATAACAGAGTCCACATGGGCAGCGCAGCATATAAATAACATTAGAGGTCTTACAAGAAATTGTTCCTCTGATCTTAAAATATTTTCCTGTACAGGGATGCTTAAAATATGTGTTTTGTAAGAAAATTACATTGTTGACAACCTCCACACTTTTAGTTACCTGAAGGAATATTACTCAAAAAATGTGTTGGCTGAGAAACATAAATCAACTCTGACCAGCATATTACATAAGTTTGGAGGTCTCTTACCTCCTGAGGTGGTTTAGCGAAAATCATTTGCAAAATAGGATCAATGTCAACAATGTACCAACGTTTCTGAATTATGGCTTCGATATCTTTAGTGGAGAATACTGGATAAAACAATTGTTTGGTCTTTAAGGCTTTAGAAGACCCCCAAACTTACGTAATATGCTGGTCAGGGCTGATTTATCTGTTTCTTAGCAGCCAACACATTTTATGAGTACATGCTGCCCATGTGGACTCTGTTATGTGGGTAAAACTAGCAGACAACTCAAAATGCATATTGCTGAACATCGATGTGCCATTAGGCTGCATTACCCTAGAAGTCCAGTAGCACAACATTTTGTTAGATTTAAACATTCGGTTTCCACACTACAATATATTGGCATTGAAGCTGTGAAAGTACCTCGTAGAGGGGGTGACATCAATAATTTGCTTTTAAAACATGAAGCCTATATTGGATTAATACTTACACATATATATATATATATATATATATATATATACTGTATATACTTTTGGATTTATACTCACCTAATGAATGGTCTTAATGAAGAGTTTGATATTCATGCATTTCTGCATTAATGATACTGATTGTATTTGCATGTTCACATTTGATTTTTTCTAGTCAGGTGTTTGTTAGATTGTTGTGATTTGTTCTTGGTATTTTATGTTTTCACTTTTAAGTTATGTATTGTGTTGCCTGAGTGTTGAGTTGTTGTGTGTGTGTGTGTGTGTGTGTGTGTGTGTGTGTGTGTCATGTGATTTCCTGGCCAATGGGCTGAAGGTCCAAACTGCAGTTTCAATGCAGCTTCAACGGGCTCTACATGATCCCAACTGAGGAATAGGGGTCTTATATAGTGAAACGATTGGTCATTTTCTAAAAATAAAAATTAAAATGTTGGCCACCATTGAAGTCCATTACATGGAGAAAAATCCTGGAATGTTTTCCTCGAAAAACCTTCATTTCTTTGTGACTGAAGACAGAAAGACATGAATATCTTGGATGACATGAGGGTGAGTAAATTATCAGGAAATTCTTATTCTGGAAGTGAACTAATCCTTTAAGGGCTCATCAGTATGTTCATTGTCTGATGAGGAGCCATAAGGCTCAAAACGTCACCAGTGGTGAGAACATGAAACAAACATTTTTGGAGCTGTGGTGTGCCAACTTTTCTTTCTTTTTCTTTATTACAATAGTTGAGCAACCCTCATTGAGGTTTTTGTTGCCCGTCAGATGTGCACATTTTTTTAAATTGTTTGAAGAAAAATTACTGCAAAACCTTGGTGCAAAGTTTCTCTGGGGAATGCAAATGTTTTCCATCATCATGTCCCCTTGTGGGCTCCGTACGATACATTTATTAAACAACCTTTGCAAGTTTTCAGATGCCATTTCATCCATCTGTGTTTGTGTTGCAGTTCAGGGGACGCAATAACGTTCATCTCGGTCCTGACATACTGCTGCGTCAGCAGTCCATTGCAGGGAACAACACCTTCACCAACCTGCGAGAGGTGAGCGAGCGCTTCAAACTGCCTCCGGGTGAATACGTCATCATCCCCTCCACTTTCGAGCCGCATCGCAAGGGAAGCTTCATACTGCGCGTGTTCGCAGAGAAAGAGGCTGCTGCCAGGTTTGTCCCGAGTATTTTCATATTTTTAACTTAAAATAAATAAATAAAAAAACTTGAGAGTATATAGTTCCAGTTTTAGTCCACATGGGGATGCTGTTGCACAGATTCTGTTGTACCTAGAGTGGATAGTTACATTAAAACATCTGTTTGCTATCTGATTGTTAGACCAATAAATCATAACTGTACCCTAAACATTCTGTTTTTGCACCCAAATGCATGATGGATGTTTCTGACTCTTGTTCATGCAGTCCGATGGATACGGAGATCAGTGCAGATGTGAAAAAGGTGAATTTATTATTTACAAACATAGTGTGTATTATTATTATTTAAAACAAAGACGTTTATATAAATTCAGATATATAACCGTATTAAAAAAAAAAAAACGTAAACATTTTTAATAATTTTTAAAAAGTTTTTTTTCTTTCCCAGCAATACATATCCGAGAGTGATGTGGACCCACTTTTCAAACAGCTTTTCAATCAGATTGCTGGAAATGTAAGTCACATGGCTGGTCATTTTAAGTTTTGAATCATTAGCATTATCACACATGATCTTTTTTTCACTCTGCAGGACACAGAGGTGTCTGTGTTTGAACTACAGCAGATCCTGGACAGTGCTACCTCGAAACGTAGGAAAACAAACTTTTCTAGTTTTATTCTCTCTCTCTCTCTCTCTCTCTCTCTCTCTCTCTCACACACACACACACACACACAAATATACATACATATGTTATGTATGTACTGTATATACACATACATAAAGAAAAGAAAGTGCCTTGAAATTGAAATTCTGTGTTTATCATTCTCACAAGGTTTTTTTTTTTTCACACAGGAACTGATGTGAAGACGGATGGATTTAGTATGGAAACCTGTCGCCACATTATCAGTCTGCTAGATGTATCCTTACCTCACTGGATCATATGAATGGAATCTATATGGATTAATGCAGAGATTCACAAACTTTTTTGTCAGCTGGACCCATTTGACCTTAAACACTTACTTGAAGTCCCCCTGAGAGTTAATATTTCAGTAATTTAACAATAAGTTCGCATGTTCACAGTTCTCTGATGTTGGATTACTATTTGTTTTTTTTTGTATCTTATATAAAAAAAATATATACAGTATAAATATACAAAATATATAAATATATTTTTATAATATAATATAATATAATATAATAAATTGTGTATTAATATTCTCAACAGAGTCCGTTCATTGTACAAACACAGCAACCAATTTAATCATCATAACCCTGTTATAACCCTTGACCTTCAGTCCAGAGAGACGGCAGCGGCAAACTCGGCCTTGTGGAGTTTCACATACTGTGGATAAAGATCCAGAAATATTTGGTATAATATATATTTTGGTGTAAATTAAAGATGAAAAATCTGTAATATCAGCCGATAACCGATATGGTACAGATCTACTGTGCATCCCTACCACAGAGAAACATCTTTGTGGGCACTAAAGTTCAGATAAATTCGTCATTGTATTTAGTGATGTTAATTACTTAATGTGAATGTTCTGTCATACCTCACCAGGAGGTGTTTAAGAAGTATGATACAGACAACTCCGGCACTATGAGTTCCCATGAGATGAGAGATGCCGTGAAAGAAGCAGGTAATGAGTCTAAAATGTGTAAATGTCTAAACATTGAAGACAATATAGTCATTAATTTCTTCTAAAAGTGGTCCTAATAAAGAGTGCATTAATGGATGTATTTGCTTTTCTCCACAGGATTCCAGCTGAACAATGACGTACTTCAGGTGATAATCTCACGTTACGCCAATCAGCAGTACGCCATTGACTTTGATTGCTTCGTTGGCTGCCTGATTCGCCTGGAAATGCTCTTCAGTAAGTTTTGCTGAAGATTATCCAGTTTAATTTTTTTAATTACCATGAATAAACTATAAACAGGAATTATGACAATGGTTTACAGTAACGTTTTCATCTGTGCTCTACACAGAAATGTTTAAAACGCTGGATAAGAAGAACAGCGGGAAAATCGAGCTGGATATCCTGCAGGTGATGCACAAGTGTGAACGTGGATTAAAATTGTTGTATCCTCTCAATGTAGTGCTATCATTTACAGATGTGTTGTTTTGTGTTTTGCAGTGGCTCTGCTTGGCGCTCAGTTGAAAATCCACTCACCATAACTGCATCAGAAATCAGTTCATTTCCTGCAATTGAACTGAAGAGGATGCAGCAGACCTGAAATACCCAAGAGTAACATCGGAGTAAAATCAACCAAAGATGGGTATTATCTCAACTTGGAATTGCTCACAAAATGTAATTTGTTTATGGTGCTCAACTGCTGAAAAAATATAATAAAGACGACTAAATCACATTTTTCATATTTGCAAATTTTGATAATTTTATGTCCCTTTTACAAATAGTTACCATAGTAATAGCATAGTATATTGTTTCTACCGTAAAAAATAATGAATTAATATTGAATCATAACCGCCACTCACTATATTGGAGTGTGTAAATTCATGGCTTCATTAATCTCAATTTATATTCTTCTAATAAGACCAGAAAAAAAAAAAATGAATGCCTTAACAACTTCCATCTGAGAATTATTTACTCCTAAAATATCTTTAATATCCTATTTCCTTCCTAATTTGATGATGCATTCTTTAAGTTTTTTCCTTTCTTCCTTATATTTCCTACAGATGAGTAGAACATGCTCTACATTTTCTTTGCATTTACAAACCTCACATTTATCAGTATTCACTTTATTCATTAGAAATAATGTATTATTAACTCTTGTGTGTCCTAACTGTAAGGATCCTCAAATGCAAACTCTGTGTGTTTTGCTTCAAGGGAGCAAACATACATTTGTGTTGTGTTTTACTTTCTTTCTTTTATATTTATTCTTCATTTATAATCATTTATCATTTAATCGCTTTATTATTCCATTTAACCATATAATCATTTCAATAGATTCATTAATTGGTTTGTCATTTATATTATATTATTGTTTTTGTTATATTATTTTTCCATTATTGTTTAGTCTTATGACTTTGTGTTTCAAGGGCTGTTTGTCTTCATGAATAAAAGATAAGAGGGAATGTTTATGGAAATTCAAGGTTTATGGGATGTTGTTGTGAAGCAGTTTGGTATAAAACTACTTGTTGGATTGTTTTGTCAGATGAAGTCTGAGCACTGAAACATATGCAACTTTTTAGATTATTCAATAAACTTATCATCATTACTTCGTCTCCTGCTTCTGCTCTTCTTTGCTCAGTCAACTTCTTGTCTGATAGAAGACTGTTAATGCAGTTTTGGGTACCAGACAAGACTTTCTCTTAACAGGTTTTGGGTATTCGGCAATTTTGCTGACTAGTTGTTCTGTAGACAAAACGGATATTTTCTGACATGATCTGGCATCCAGGTCTGAATCTGATATTTCTAGTGTGGAGGCACGATCTAGCATAACCGCAGTCTTGTATAACTGATTTCTTGTCTTCTGTTTTTACTATCAAATGTTTTAACTTGAATTATGTTTTGAATACTGTAATATTCTCTTCCTTTATCTGAGTCCCAAATCTTTTGCCAGTCATTATCAATGTTGCTTTTAATTAATGTTTTCCCTTCATTTTTTCCCAGGGAAATCTCAATTTTGTTGTTATTATTTAATGCATTTTCACTAATTTGTCAGCTATTTAATTTCCTTGAACTCCTGTATGTGCTGGTATCCAACAGAATTGAACATACAATACAATACAATACAAATTTTATTTCTATAGCACATTTAAAACAACTGCTGTTGACCAAAGTGCTTTCCAGCATCATTACATAGTAACCTGATTATCTAAAACTAAAGCCGAATCCATTATAACACCCAGATTCTTAACATGATCTGAAACACTCCATATCATAGAGGCCAACCTACTTATAATTTCCTTGGGAGCAGAAGAGGGTCCGAAGACAACACACTGAGTCTTATTAGTATTAAGATGAAGAAAATTGCTTGCCAACCAGGCTCTAATCTCACCTAAGTCCATCAAATGATTGAGAGCCATTTTGATCTATTGGAATGTATAACTGGGTTTATTAGAATGTCATCTTTAGTTGTTTATTAATACTCTGTAACGCTGCTGAATCTGAATAAAATACAGCTTTGTCTGGTTTGACTTCCTGCACCCATTGTAAACCCAGAGATATTACATCTAGCTCTGCTGTATATAGCTACATTATTGGATATTCTTTTACTAATGTTTACTTTGAATTCTGGGATAGCAATGCCCACACCAGTGTGTCTATTTCCTGCATTTTTTGATCCATCAGTATATATTTCTAAATATCCATAGTAGTTCTTATTTACATATTTTTGTACCAACCTACAGTACATATATAGACAAAGACAATGGGAACATAAAGGCTATTTATACACTGAGACTTATGACTAACAAGAAACACCTGTGAACAATCAAGACTACCAATGAGAATACAGAACAGATAACCACATGACCAAAACAACCAATGAGAACATAAGACATAAACAGGGAAAGCACATGACACGTTCATAATGAGGAGCAAGGGAACCACATGACATGAACAGAAAACATAACTTCAAAATAAAACAAGCAAACATGGCACCATAAAAGGAAAAGGAAAACATGGGCATGAAACAAAACCAAAAACAGGCATGACAGTATAGTAGTACAATGGTACTTTCTTCTTATTAGTGCCTTTAAACAGTTTAATTGACTACTAAAACAGCTCTTGTCACAAAATGTTTTTCACCTACTATAGTAGGGAAGTATGCGATTTCGGATGCAGCCTAAATAATTTGAACAGTCTACTCAGGCTCTGAATCGTCTGGAGCAGTTTCTCAGTAAAAGAGTAACAGGATAATGTATAACACATTGTGCATTTGGTAATCTCTATGTAGCATTGTAGATATGAACATATAAGCATTAGCATATGATTTCATAATGCCATCACAGTAGCATTTGGAAAGTTAATTTTTAAAACTTTTAGTTCTGTGTCATAATTAGTCTTACAGAGCCTAAAGCTTTTTGTTCTGTTCAACAGGAACAAGAGGCCTATTAGTCACATTATTAACATTAACTGCCAGGAAAAATAATATATAAACAATTCAGTTCTTTTAAAATGCTATGTTTAAGTGCTTTTTTGTTTTTAGTTTGTTCAAAAGATTTAAGTATTCTTACCCCTTTATTATTATTATTTATTTATTTTTTTAAATTTTGTTATGTTATGGTGTTAAAATCCATACCCCATAATGAAAAAGCAAAAAAACTGATTTGTGACAGCAATCTGCATTTGGCAATTATCATGGACATCACGTTGTTTAGACATTTGAAGAGTGGATCATTTTAGTTTGAGTTAATAATAACTGGAGTTGAGAATGAGCACTGGGTTAAAATCATCCAACCCTTATTCAAGGAATTACATTGTGTGTGTTTGCTTGTCATGTTCACAATGAACTTAATTCATTGTTCAAGCTTTGTAGAATTAATAATTGGCTTCACCAGAGTTACAAGTAATACACATTATGCTATCGAATTTGTTTACCAAATAGTGAGTAAAGTAACACATAAATTAGCACCATCATTATACATCCAAGAAACAAATCAATTCAGTGGAATCCAGTTTTACTCCTTTTTTCAGTCAGTTCATACCAAAAATATAACATTCAGGTATAAATGCACTTATGCCACTTTAAAACCCCCATTTTTGTAGTTACAGCCTATTTGTTGTTGCTTACCAATTATATTGGTGGCTTAAATACAGAGATCTGTGATTCAGTGTGTGAAATGAACAGGTTCTTCAGTTTTAGTCAAACCAGGAGGATTAACAAAGAATCTCAACATTTGTTTCGTGCAGGTGGATGAATGTTTTTAATCTTTTACCCAGAACGTATAGTGGTCTGACCATGACAAATCATTACAAAACCTACATACATGCATACATATACACACACACACACACACACACACACAAACACAGACATATATATATATATATATATATATATATATATATATGTCTATATACTGCTGTATATGTATATATAGCCTACTGCATATGTATACATATGTATATATACTGCTTTACTGTACAGCAGCTCTCACTTTAAAAGCAGCATCAGTCTCACACAAACACACACACTACACAAGCTTCAGAGAAACTTGAGCACGACTACAGGGCAGCATGTCTATATATATATATATATGTGAGTAGCAGTGCGATATCAGCACGGCTCTGTGCCGATATACAGCCATATCGCATGGCTACGAGTGTGATATTGCATTTATACAACAGTTCGAAGGCACGTGTGTGTAAATACATAAGAAACAACAACTGAGTGTCTTTAAAAACCCTCTTTTGTGCAGAAATACTTCCTCCGTTTGCAGTTTAACAGCTGAGTTCAAGCTGCCGTTAATTCGACAATGTCACTTTAGAACTAGTAGGCTAATGTTGACAGAACACACTGGTGCCGTATTTAGCATTATACTACACAATAAACAGGCATTTAAACCACTATTTAGGTTTCAAAGAATATTATTTATTACATAAGCCTACTTTTATCACACAGAACTTACGAATGGTTGGCGATATGGCGCTGCGGCAAAACAGCGACATCAATGACATTAAAAATTCATAAAGGTAAAGTAAATCAGCTAATTGTGCGCAATGACCATTCGTGCAGACACGTTCATTCTGACAATGACATTTTCTCTTAACGGTAAAAATGAAGCTCAATACGGGATTAACTGTACTACAACGCTATCTGCTGGATATATAGGGTGGTTCAACAAAACCGTGGATTTCTAATCGGTTGGATGTAGCAGCACCTTTCATGCGTTTTGATTAATATTAATAAAACTACATGTCATTTAAGCATTTGTTTCATCACTTGAGCAACGCAACTTTTTTTTGTTTGTTTGTTTGTTTCTACGGAACTACTCGATAGACCATGGAAATAAAATTTGTATTTCCTTTTTTTTTTTTTTTTTCGCAGCCGACGTCCCAATAAGGAAATGGAAATTAGCCTATCCGCTTTCTTTATTTCTGTGGGAACTAAGGGAAGTTAATGTTTCCGCTATGAAAAAAGTTAACACTGTACAAACAAACAAAAACACAATAGAAAGAAAAAAATTGTTACAATGTACAAAACATAACAGAAATTCCAAATCGCAATTATGATTATTATTACATTTGATGATGCAATTTAAGCATGTGAAATTTGTTAAAAACGGTGGTTTTGAGTTTGAATAAAGCCTACACTACATGCCCATGTATATGCACACCACTTTCTAATTAATGACTTTGCTAGGTTCCTTAATCCCAAATTGAGGGCAAACCTTAATGCTACGGTATACAGTGTCATTTTAAAGACTGTGACAATTGTTTAAGGAGAGCCGTTTCCTGCTCCTCGACAGACTTGACAGACCTGCATGAAGCCCAGACCTGAATCCCACCTTTAGGATGAACTGTAAGCAGAAGCTGTTAGGAAGGACTGTGCCATGTTAATGTCTGTGGTTTTGAATTTGTTTGTTAAACCAGCACACATGGGTGTGGTGTTTGAGAATGTCTGGCCATGCAGTGTAGCTCAAAACATACTTTCATCATGTTTTGCTATTGCTGTTGTGTAATTGTGATATACAGGCTCTATACAGGCTATTTATATATATATAAATAGGCCTACAATATGCTTTTGTGTACAAAGAGTATTGTGTATTCATTTTGCATCACAGAGTTATTTGATGTTAAACCAATGTAAAAGCAACACCTGCCCCTGTGCGCTGACAGGTGGGTGTGACTCCACCCCTCACTGCTCTACTGTACAGCAGCTCTCACTTTAAAACCAGCATCAGTCTCACACAAACACACACACTACACACGCTTCAGAGAAACTTGAGCACGACTACAGGGCAGCATGTCTAATATTGCAAAAGTTCTTTCTGGGAGGCAGGACAGAGGAGAAGGAGTGGGAACAAATGAGAAGGCGATTCCTTTCAACAAGCAGGACTACCAGAGCCTGAAGCAGGAGTGTCTGGCGAAAGGAACCCTGTTCTGTGACCCGACCTTCCCTGCTGAATCTGACTCTCTGGGATACAATGAACTCGGACGGTACTCCTCCAAGACCAGAGGAGTGCAGTGGAAGAGACCTAAGGTACTGCAGTGTGTGTGTGTGTGTGTGTTTTCTTTCTTCTACACAGGTGGAGTTTAGGTAAATATTAAACTGTGCTTTTGTGATGCTTGTATGTTTTATCGAATTTATTTCTACCTGAGACGAACCTTAAAATTACTTTTAACCAATTGCTTAAATGTACAAACGTAAATTAAGTAGTGAGGTTGATTCAATATAAAGTAATAATAGCGATATTAAATATCAATATAAATATAAATATTAAAAAACTGTATTTTTCCTATTGTTTTTTATCATGCTTGTGTTTTTATAGAATCTATTTATTCCTGATTTTTGTAGTGTATTTATTCAGATCTATTTGAAATCAGTCTTTAAGGTGATATTTGACATTTGCATTCACAAGGAACAATGGAAGGAGTGTTAGTGATTAATAAAACTACTAATTTAATTTTAGAAATGGTAAAATAGAAAATGTATGTTTAGTTGCTGCCTTAAATATTAATAAACCCAAAGTGTCCTTAAAGTAAAAAAGTGCAATGAACTTGTCTGAAGAAATATACATACTGAAAGAAAAGAAACATGCAACAAAGCAACAATTTTACAGTGGTTTATCTGAGATACAAAACATGTATTGTTATGTGCGTGTGTGTGTGTGTGTGTGTGTGTGTGCGCGTATGTTTTCATGCGTGTGCACGATATGCTCACTATGGTAACCGACAGCAGCTCAGGTTTCTCTTTAGGTGTGAAGATGACTTTATGTGTGTGTGTTGATACTTACAACATGCAGACTCTCTGCTCATCAGTTTGCATTGTTATATAAATAAGATGCTTTATATCTGTATTTTTTTGTTCTTTTATGAATACACAAGCCACAGCACATTAGTTCAACTGAACCTTTTTACATGTGCTGCTAAGAGCAAATAAACGCTATTGTTATTTTGGTGTACCTTTACATAACGTAACCCTATCACCTCTAATCATACTCACATTGTCCTTTTTTAAAGGAACTCTATTCAAACCCTGAGTTCATTGTGGACGGTGCTAAGCGGACAGACATCTGCCAGGGAGCTTTAGGTGAGAAAAGCTCCTTTTGATCAGAACGGTGTTTGGGTGTGTCCTGTTGCATAATTTGCAAATTATTTATGAATTACACTAACACATATAGGTGAAGTCATTATCACTAAAAATTTACATGATGTGTGGCCAAGTATGGTAACCCATACTTGGAATTTGTGCTCTGCATTTAACCCAAGTTCACACACACACACACACACACACACACAGCAGTGAGAAGTGAACACGCACACACCGTGAACACACACCTGGAGCAGTGGGCAGCCATTTTTGCGGCGGCACCCAGGAAGCGACTTGAGTTCAGTGCCTTGCTCAAGAGCACCTCAGTCGTGGGTAATGAGAGTGGAAGAGAGCGCTGAATATTCACTCCCCCCACCTACGTTTCCTGCCAGTACTGAGAATCGAACTTCAGGTTACAAATCCAACTCTCAATCCATTAGGCCACAACTGCCTGAAAAACGTGATGAATATGGAATTTCAGGTTATTTTATTATTCATTACTTTAAATTAGGTGTTTAGTTACCTCTGTCTGCCAGTATGTCTGCTTTATGTTGACTTTAGTAAACTGTCCTCCACCCCAAACACACACAGACTCATATTGTGCAGCACTAATGGTAAAAAGCGTTAAGTAAAAGGCATATAAAGAAAGAGGTATAATTTACTCTTACAAATAAAGGTCTTATTGGCATTGATGTCTCTATAAAGAACCTTTAACGTCCATGGAATCTTTTCATTCCACAAAAGGTTCTTTATAGTGGAATAAGGTTCCTTAGAATATTGAAATGTTCTTATATATATATATATATATATATATATATATATATATATGTCTATATACTGCTGTATATGTATATATAGCCTACTGCATATGTATACATATGTATATATACTGCTTTACTGTACAGCAGCTCTCACTTTAAAAGCAGCATCAGTCTCACACAAACACACACACTACACAAGCTTCAGAGAAACTTGAGCACGACTACAGGGCAGCATGTCTATATATATATATATATGTGAGTAGCAGTGCGATATCAGCACGGCTCTGTGCCGATATACAGCCATATCGCATGGCTACGAGTGTGATATTGCATTTATACAACAGTTCGAAGGCACGTGTGTGTAAATACATAAGAAACAACAACTGAGTGTCTTTAAAAACCCTCTTTTGTGCAGAAATACTTCCTCCGTTTGCAGTTTAACAGCTGAGTTCAAGCTGCCGTTAATTCGACAATGTCACTTTAGAACTAGTAGGCTAATGTTGACAGAACACACTGGTGCCGTATTTAGCATTATACTACACAATAAACAGGCATTTAAACCACTATTTAGGTTTCAAAGAATATTATTTATTACATAAGCCTACTTTTATCACACAGAACTTACGAATGGTTGGCGATATGGCGCTGCGGCAAAACAGCGACATCAATGACATTAAAAATTCATAAAGGTAAAGTAAATCAGCTAATTGTGCGCAATGACCATTCGTGCAGACACGTTCATTCTGACAATGACATTTTCTCTTAACGGTAAAAATGAAGCTCAATACGGGATTAACTGTACTACAACGCTATCTGCTGGATATATAGGGTGGTTCAACAAAACCGTGGATTTCTAATCGGTTGGATGTAGCAGCACCTTTCATGCGTTTTGATTAATATTAATAAAACTACATGTCATTTAAGCATTTGTTTCATCACTTGAGCAACGCAACTTTTTTTTGTTTGTTTGTTTGTTTCTACGGAACTACTCGATAGACCATGGAAATAAAATTTGTATTTCCTTTTTTTTTTTTTTTTTCGCAGCCGACGTCCCAATAAGGAAATGGAAATTAGCCTATCCGCTTTCTTTATTTCTGTGGGAACTAAGGGAAGTTAATGTTTCCGCTATGAAAAAAGTTAACACTGTACAAACAAACAAAAACACAATAGAAAGAAAAAAATTGTTACAATGTACAAAACATAACAGAAATTCCAAATCGCAATTATGATTATTATTACATTTGATGATGCAATTTAAGCATGTGAAATTTGTTAAAAACGGTGGTTTTGAGTTTGAATAAAGCCTACACTACATGCCCATGTATATGCACACCACTTTCTAATGAATGACTTTGCTAGGTTCCTTAATCCCAAATTGAGGGCAAACCTTAATGCTACGGTATACAGTGTCATTTTAAAGACTGTGACAATTGTTTAAGGAGAGCCGTTTCCTGCTCCTCGACAGACTTGACAGACCTGCATGAAGCCCAGACCTGAATCCCACCTTTAGGATGAACTGTAAGCAGAAGCTGTTAGGAAGGACTGTGCCATGTTAATGTCTGTGGTTTTGAATTTGTTTGTTAAACCAGCACACATGGGTGTGGTGTTTGAGAATGTCTGGCCATGCAGTGTAGCTCAAAACATACTTTCATCATGTTTTGCTATTGCTGTTGTGTAATTGTGATATACAGGCTCTATACAGGCTATTTATATATATATAAATAGGCCTACAATATGCTTTTGTGTACAAAGAGTATTGTGTATTCATTTTGCATCACAGAGTTATTTGATGTTAAACCAATGTAAAAGCAACACCTGCCCCTGTGCGCTGACAGGTGGGTGTGACTCCACCCCTCACTGCTCTACTGTACAGCAGCTCTCACTTTAAAACCAGCATCAGTCTCACACAAACACACACACTACACACGCTTCAGAGAAACTTGAGCACGACTACAGGGCAGCATGTCTAATATTGCAAAAGTTCTTTCTGGGAGGCAGGACAGAGGAGAAGGAGTGGGAACAAATGAGAAGGCGATTCCTTTCAACAAGCAGGACTACCAGAGCCTGAAGCAGGAGTGTCTGGCGAAAGGAACCCTGTTCTGTGACCCGACCTTCCCTGCTGAATCTGACTCTCTGGGATACAATGAACTCGGACGGTACTCCTCCAAGACCAGAGGAGTGCAGTGGAAGAGACCTAAGGTACTGCAGTGTGTGTGTGTGTGTGTGTTTTCTTTCTTCTACACAGGTGGAGTTTAGGTAAATATTAAACTGTGCTTTTGTGATGCTTGTATGTTTTATCGAATTTATTTCTACCTGAGACGAACCTTAAAATTACTTTTAACCAATTGCTTAAATGTACAAACGTAAATTAAGTAGTGAGGTTGATTCAATATAAAGTAATAATAGCGATATTAAATATCAATATAAATATAAATATTAAAAAACTGTATTTTTCCTATTGTTTTTTATCATGCTTGTGTTTTTATAGAATCTATTTATTCCTGATTTTTGTAGTGTATTTATTCAGATCTATTTGAAATCAGTCTTTAAGGTGATATTTGACATTTGCATTCACAAGGAACAATGGAAGGAGTGTTAGTGATTAATAAAACTACTAATTTAATTTTAGAAATGGTAAAATAGAAAATGTATGTTTAGTTGCTGCCTTAAATATTAATAAACCCAAAGTGTCCTTAAAGTAAAAAAGTGCAATGAACTTGTCTGAAGAAATATACATACTGAAAGAAAAGAAACATGCAACAAAGCAACAATTTTACAGTGGTTTATCTGAGATACAAAACATGTATTGTTATGTGCGTGTGTGTGTGTGTGTGTGTGTGTGTGCGCGTATGTTTTCATGCGTGTGCACGATATGCTCACTATGGTAACCGACAGCAGCTCAGGTTTCTCTTTAGGTGTGAAGATGACTTTATGTGTGTGTGTTGATACTTACAACATGCAGACTCTCTGCTCATCAGTTTGCATTGTTATATAAATAAGATGCTTTATATCTGTATTTTTTTGTTCTTTTATGAATACACAAGCCACAGCACATTAGTTCAACTGAACCTTTTTACATGTGCTGCTAAGAGCAAATAAACGCTATTGTTATTTTGGTGTACCTTTACATAACGTAACCCTATCACCTCTAATCATACTCACATTGTCCTTTTTTAAAGGAACTCTATTCAAACCCTGAGTTCATTGTGGACGGTGCTAAGCGGACAGACATCTGCCAGGGAGCTTTAGGTGAGAAAAGCTCCTTTTGATCAGAACGGTGTTTGGGTGTGTCCTGTTGCATAATTTGCAAATTATTTATGAATTACACTAACACATATAGGTGAAGTCATTATCACTAAAAATTTACATGATGTGTGGCCAAGTATGGTAACCCATACTTGGAATTTGTGCTCTGCATTTAACCCAAGTTCACACACACACACACACACACACACACAGCAGTGAGAAGTGAACACGCACACACCGTGAACACACACCTGGAGCAGTGGGCAGCCATTTTTGCGGCGGCACCCAGGAAGCGACTTGAGTTCAGTGCCTTGCTCAAGAGCACCTCAGTCGTGGGTAATGAGAGTGGAAGAGAGCGCTGAATATTCACTCCCCCCACCTACGTTTCCTGCCAGTACTGAGAATCGAACTTCAGGTTACAAATCCAACTCTCAATCCATTAGGCCACAACTGCCTGAAAAACGTGATGAATATGGAATTTCAGGTTATTTTATTATTCATTACTTTAAATTAGGTGTTTAGTTACCTCTGTCTGCCAGTATGTCTGCTTTATGTTGACTTTAGTAAACTGTCCTCCACCCCAAACACACACAGACTCATATTGTGCAGCACTAATGGTAAAAAGCGTTAAGTAAAAGGCATATAAAGAAAGAGGTATAATTTACTCTTACAAATAAAGGTCTTATTGGCATTGATGTCTCTATAAAGAACCTTTAACGTCCATGGAATCTTTTCATTCCACAAAAGGTTCTTTATAGTGGAATAAGGTTCCTTAGAATATTGAAATGTTCTTCACAATAAGAAGAAATGGTTCTTTTAGAACTGTTCACTGCAGGTTAGAAGAACCAAAAATGGTTCTCCTATGGCATCACTGTGAAAACCCCCTTTTGAAATCTTTATTTAAGAGTGTTCATGCTCATGGGGCACAATACATGCTCAAGTTTTAGTGGTTAGTTAAGAACAAAGTATGAGCAACAATAATAGTGATGCTAGATTTAGCAACCACTAATCTAATTGAAGTTACCTCACAATGCAAGTGCATTTCTTGTGGTGTGGAAAAACATTGTGAGGCATGGGAGTGGTTAAAAGCCTACGCTTGAAGGTTATAGGTTCAAAACCCACAATGTTAGATCCATCCACCATCACCATTGAGCAAGACACATACGCCCAGGATACACTTTGAGCGAAACACTGAAGCCCAGGTTGATCCTGGAGGGCTATGTCTCTAATAAGTGAACTGGAAGTCAGTTTGCATAAAACAATGAGCTCAATGCATAAGTATCTAATGACATTTGATGCATTTGCAGGTGACTGTTGGTTGCTGGCGGCTATTGCATCTTTGACTCTGGAAAAAGAGATTCTGGAACGTGTAGTTCCACCTGGACAGAGTTTTATAGAGGACTATGCTGGCATCTTTCACTTTCAGGTATAAACATACAGTGGGATCAAAACGTCTTAGACCACACTAAAGATCTGGGATTGAAAATCTAATTTAAACCTGGATGAAAAGTTTAAAAAAAATCATATAACATTAGAAAAAATGCAAAATGAATTATTTTCACTAGTGGTCTCAGACTTTTGGATCTCATTTGCGTATTAATTACAACACATAACCCTATTATAAATCCAAAGATAAATTAAAGGGTTTCTGTCAGACTGATTGGTGTTGTTCTCGTCTCTTCAGTTCTGGCAGTACGGTCAATGGGTGGATGTTGTCATTGATGACCGGCTGCCTACCAGAGATGGGAAGCTGCTGTTTGTTCATTCAGCCGAGGGCTCTGAGTTCTGGAGTGCTCTGATGGAAAAGGCCTATGCAAAGTAAGTGTGTGTGTTTATTCATCATAAATTACCTGCTACTACTTACCTGAACTATAATGCTGAACAATAAGAGACTGAGTCATCTGAAACCGTTGGTAAAGACTGTACCATAACCACAGCCTACAAAACATACAATGTTTATACAACATATCCATGACATGCCAACCAGTGGCGCTGATTTCTCCCGTATTTTGAAGGTTAAACGGCTCATATGAAGCTCTGTCGGGAGGTTCGACCACTGAGGGTTTTGAGGATTTCACAGGAGGCATCTCTGAGAACTATGAGCTGAACAAAGCTCCTCCGTACCTGTTTAAGCTCATGCAGAAAGCACTGACGCTGGGATCATTACTTGGCAGCTCCATTGATGTGAGTCCCATTCCACTTCTGATGGCTTTCAATTCGCATCATTTTGAGCTTTTAATTTCTCTAAAGCAAGAAAATCTAAAATACTGCATGAGTCTTCAGATCAATATTTTAGTGGATCTGTGGTCTAGTTAACAAACATGCTTTAGACACCTATGCTTTTATTTTCCAAGATCCAGGATAATAATTTCCTTGTGAAACCGAACAATTTGCCTGTGCTCAGTGGGTGTTTTGCAGGCGACTTGCAAAGAATATTTGGCACATATGCAAATAGGTTGGACTCACCCATATTTAAAGGAGGATTTTGTGTGTGGAAATAGTAAATGTTAGCTCACTTGTGGCTCACAATACATACCAGGAGTTTAAAGCATGACAATAATTATCATTGCTGTAATACATAATAAGTAGGGATGCACTGATATGAACATGTTGGCTGATAATTCTAATTAATTCTATTTTTAGAACCTGATAACCAATATATTGTCCAATATATATATATATATATATATATATACACACACATACGCTACTGTTTAAAAGATTGGGCCATTACTCCAGTCTTCAGTGTATGAAATAATGATTCACATGATGTATATAATATCACATGTTATTATAATAATCATTGAGCAGATTGCCAGTTCATATGAGACGGAGGAGGTGACGAGTCTGAAGCTGGTGAAGGGTCATGCCTACTCCGTCACGGGCACAGAGGAGGTCAGAAACTGGCACTGACAATATAATATGTATTTGAAAGGAAAACTCGAAGGAGCTCTAATGACTGTCACCTTATTGTACCTACAGGTTCATTCCCACGGCCGTCTGGTTCAGCTGGTGCGTATCAGGAACCCATGGGGTCAGGTGGAGTGGACAGGCCCTTGGAGTGACAAGTGAGTTTCCCTAAACAGATCTTACTCCTTCAACATCAGTCCTGAAAGTCCTGTCAAATATTTCCAATGTCTTTTTCAGTTCCAAAGAGTGGAGCAGCGTCCAACCAGAGGAGAAAGCTAAACTGGATTATTCAGCTGAAGATGGAGAGTTCTGGTAAGAGAACTTGAGCTTGTAACCCTCAACAACAACGTAACAAATATGTTGACAAATACTGACAAATCTTCCTCGTCCTGTCAGGATGGCGTATTCAGACTTCATACAGCACTTCTCAAAGTTGGAGATCTGTAATCTGACTCCAGACACTATTTCAAGCGAAGATGTGAGCCGCTGGAACTACAACCAGTTTGAAGGCAACTGGAAGGTGGGATCCACCGCAGGGGGCTGCAGGAACAACCCAGGTAAATCAAACCAACCACAATGTGCTTGAAACTAAAAGCTGTTGTTTGATCCACCATCTGACTGCTTGGTTCGTCCTCTCCAGCAACATTCTGCTCAAACCCTCAGTTTGTGATCAAGCTGGAGGAAGAAGATGATGATCCTCTTGATGGAGAGGACGGCTGCACGATCCTAGTGGGTCTGATGCAGAAAGAGAGTCGTAAAGACAAGCGGTTTGGACGAGACCTGAACACCATTGGCTTCTCTATCTATGAGGTAACTGGTTATGTACAATCAGTAATGCTATTAGTACTAGAGATAGGATTAAAAAAATTCAAATCAATAAAGAGTCATTAGCTAAACCAACCTGCACCAAGATGAATTGCAACATTTCAAACTTTAATTTGAAGCAATTCTCTTTTAGGAGAAGTGTAATTCTTCATCTACAGTTTAGCTAAATATTTTTCTTTCCTTAAATGATTTTGAAATATTGATTAATAGCCTCTAAGCTCATGGTAGGTCTGTCTTGAAATGTTAATAATAATGTGATTTTACTTCCGGAATGCAACTGTTGCACTTTATTTGACACACTTTTCCTTTGACATAACCATCAATATTACCACTAATTAATAGAATATATTTGTGGTGAATTGTATGAATTTGAACATTGAATAATACAATATTCTTTGGTGTTTTTCAGGTTCCAGATGAGGTGTGTATGAGCTCTATAAGTTTTGTACATAAGAGTAACTGGACATCACAAATGTAACCAGTCTTTCTTTCATTTTTATGATACTACGGAGACCCTAAAGGGACAAAAACAATTTCAATGCTTTTGTGTTCCCCTAAGAATGGAAGATGTTTTGTGAGAGAACACAAAATTTCTAAGGGGAAAGCAATACTTTTGCAATAGAACACAAAGTTTTTCAGGATAACTTTAGTTTAAAATTTAGTGTGCAAACGCAAAAGCATTAAAATATAATTTTCCTCCCATCTTATATTTTTTGTTCCATCTTCATGCGTCATACGATACATTTATATGAAACAACCTTTGCAAGTTTTCAGATGCCATTTCATCCATCTGTGTTTGTGTTGCAGTTCAGGGGACGCAATAACGTTCATCTCGGTCCTGACATACTGCTGCGTCAGCAGTCCATTGCAGGGAACAACACCTTCACCAACCTGCGAGAGGTGAGCGAGCGCTTCTATAACAAAGAGTGAAAAATTGAAGGGGGTCTGAATACTTTCCGTACCCACTGTATATATATATATATCCACATAAATGGAAACGTTTTAATAAATCAGATGGATAACCGTTCAGCGAAAACGCATGAAATGACCAGGTGTAAACAGGCCCTAGATTGGATATACATCCCAACCACATTCCTGGAGCCCCCCAACACTGCATGTTTTCCATGTCTCCTTAATCAAACACACCTGATTCAGATCATCAGCTCATTAGCAGAGACTCCAAGACCTGAAATGGGTGTGTCAGACAAAGGAGAGATGCAAAATATGCAGTGTTGGGGGGCTCCAGGAATGTGGTTGGGAACCACTGCACTAAACATCTGATAAATCATAACTGTAACCTAAACATTCTTGTATTTGCACCCAAATGCATGATGGATGTTTCTGACTCTTGTTCATGCAGTCCGATGGATACGGAGATCAGTGCAGATGTGAAAAAGGTAAATTTAGCATTTACAAACATATTATGTATTATGAGAAAAATGTTTATATAAATTCAGATATAAAATCAAAAGTTACTTTAATTTAATACTTTTTTTCTTTCCCAGCAATACATATCAGAGAGTGATGTGGACCCACTTTTCAAACAGCTTTTCAATCAGATTGCTGGAAATGTAAGTCACATGGCTGGTCTTTTTCAGTTTTGAGTCATTAGCATTGTATTTTTCCCCAGTACGCATGATCTTTTTTTCACTCTGCAGGACACAGAGGTGTCTGTGTTTGAACTACAGCAGATCCTGGACAGTGTTACCTCAAAACGTAGGAAAACAAACAGTCTTAGTTTTATTCACATTTATATCAATGTATAGATATATCTGAATTTGATTTTAAAAAGTGCCCTAAAATTGTTTAACATTCTGTGTTTATCGTTCTCACAATGTTTTTTTTTTTTTTTCACACAGGAACTGATGTGAAGACAGATGGATTTAGTATGGAAACCTGTCGCCACATTATCAGTCTGCTAGATGTATCCTTACCTCACTGGATCATATGAATGGAATCTATATGGATTAATGCAGAGATTCACAAACTTACTTACTTGAAGTCACCCTGAGAGTTTCAATTAATGTTTCAATAATTCAACAACACATTCACATGTTCCCAGTTCCCTGATGTTGGATAACTATTATTTTTCTGTAAAAAATTATTAAAATATTTTAAAAACATTATAAAAATATATAATATAAAATACTGACTGTTATTTTGTTTTTATTTTAAAATATTTGTTTTAATTTAACATTTCTATGATTTAATTAATTATTAGCTTTTCACAACCCCCTTGCAGTTTTCTCAAAAATCTCTGGGGGTTCGGCAACCCCAGTTTGGATTTATCATGTATTATCTCAATGTTTTAATTGTGAATTAATATTCTCAACAGAGTCCTTTCATTGTACAAACACAGCAACCAAATTAATCATCATAACCCTGTTATAACCCTTGACCTTCAGTCCAGAGAGACGGCAGCGGCAAACTCGGCCTTGTGGAGTTTCACATACTGTGGATAAAGATCCAGAAATATTTGGTATAATATATATTTTGGTGTAAATTAAAGATGAAAAATCTGTAATATCAGCCGATAACCGATATGGTACAGATCTACTGTGCATCCCTACCACAGAGAAACATCTTTGTGGGCACCAAAGTTCAGATAAATTCGTCAATGTATTTAGTGATGTTAATTACTTAATGTGAATGTTCTGTCATACCTCACCAGGAGGTGTTTAAGAAGCATGATACAGACAACTCCGGCACTATGAGTTCCCATGAGATGAGAGATGCCGTGAAAGAAGCAGGTAATGAGTCTATGGTTAAATATCTAAACATTGAAGACAATATAGTCATTAATTTCTTCTAAAAGTGGTCCTAATAAAGAGTGCATTAATGGATGTATTTGCTTTTCTCCACAGGATTCCAGCTGAACAATGACGTACTTCAGGTGATAATCTCACGTTACGCCAATCAGCAGTACGCCATTGACTTTGATTGCTTCGTTGGCTGCCTGATTCGCCTGGAAATGCTCTTCAGTAAGTTTTACTGAAGATTATCCAGTTTAATTTTTTAAATAACTGGAAATAAAAATTTCTAGAAAAAAAAATTGTTTATGCATGGTTTACTGTAACATTTTTATCTGTGCTCTACACAGAAATATTTAAAACATTTGATAAGAAGAACAGCGGGAAAATCGATCTGGATATCCTGCAGGTGATGCACATGTGTGAATGTGAATTAAGATTTTTACATCTTCTCAATAGTGTTTTCATTTACAGATGTGTTGTTTTGTGTTTTGCAGTGGCTCTGCTTGGCCCTCAGTTGAAAATCCACTTACCTTGCACCAGATTGCACTAGAAGTCCATTCATTTCATGCAATTAAACCGAAGCGGATGCAGCAGACCTGGAATACCCAAGAGTAAAATCAGAGTAAAATCAACCAAAGATGGGTATTAGCCTATCTAAACTTGAACTTGCTTACAAAATGCAATTTGATTATGGTGCTCATCTGGTGAAAATAAAATAATTTGCTATAATAAAGATGACTATATCACATTTTTCATATATGCAAAGTCTATAATTTTGATGATTTGATGTTTACAAATAGTTACCACAGTTTCCACCAAAATGGCATAGTACATTGCTTCTACAGTAAAAATAATTAATTAATGTGATATTGAAATATTGTATATTCATATACCGTGGTATTTACACGGTAGCCTATGCATTGAAGTACAGTAGTAATTTCTTGTTAGCGTCTTTAGTCAATTAAACTCACAGATTCCCCATCTGTGGAAAATTTTGCAACACGTAAAGTTATTCATGTGAATATGAGAGACTTCTGATTCATTAGCCGCTCATTAACTAAAAGAATAATAAAGCGCTACAAACCAATGTTTTTATAGTCCGATTCGAATGGTAATTGTTTCTCATGAGGATGTAAGCTATTTTCAACATTTACACGGGTTAGTCTGTGATTTTATTGCCGTACAAATCCAGAATGTCTGTGTTTTTACATGAAAATCCCCGGCGGAATTACTTACTATTTTTTGACAAACACCAAGGTCATGTAGTAATTTAATTGCCGTCCGAATCCACATCCCGTTTACAAGAAGAAATAGATTTAAAATTCAATGTGTAAATCCTTTTTGACCACTGCCGAACACCGTATGGTAACTGTTGCACTTCACTGTAATTTGCATGCTTATTTATTACTGAAAAAAAAAATACAGAAAGCCCGCCAAAAGGGGTGGGGTCGACTGCCATAAGTCGACTCTGAGCGCCATTTAGTCAGAAATGTTCTCCTTCAGCACAAAGATGAACTCCCCGCTGGACTGAAACTTGCTCCACACCGTAGAAGAGTTGATTACTACAGAGTATTTCCTAGAGCAAATTTCCAGTGGCGTTGTTTCACGTGTCACGTCGCGAGTGTGGCCCCACTCTGGAGGAATCAGAAGTGGTTCCCCGAGATGATCCAGCTGTTATCAGCAGTCCCTTAGCTGATTCCATTGAGGGAGGAACTCCTCTCTCAAGCGAGAGGCATGATTTGGCAGTCTTTTCTGACTGGTGTGCAGCACGGAACGAGGACCTGTCCTCTTGTGACGTGTCATCCTTGTAGTCATCGCGGCGAATCACAATCTCGTGGCAGGCCAGTCAGTCGTCAAAAACGACTTTGACGTTAAACTCCTGAGGGGGGCTCGGAGATTGAATCCGCCTCATCCTCATACTGTGCCGACTTGGAACTTTTCTATAGTCCTCAGGGCCCTGCGAGGTCCTCCCATTGAGCCACTCCAGTCAGCTGATTTGTGGCCCCTGTTGCTTAAGACTGCACTTCTTCTAGCTTTAGCGTCGGTCAAGCGAGTGTGTGATTTACAAGCACTGTCAATCAGTGCTTCATGCCTTGAGTTTGGGCCTAACGACTGTAGTGTCGTCCTCAAACCAAGACACAGCTATGTGCCTAAAGTGCTCTCAACTCTGTTCAGAGCACAAGTCTTCACCCTTCTGGCTCTTCCTAACTCAGAGGATGAGCAGTGTCCGAATTTACTCTGGTTCGGGCTCTTAGAGTGCCTGTAGAACGCTCTAGCCACTTCCAGCATTCAGAGCAGCTCTTTCTGTGCTTCGGAAGCCGCTCTGAAGGGCCGCCAGTCACAAAGCAGAGACTATCTCACTGGATAGTAGATGCTATAGCCTTGGCTTATGCCTCAGTGGCCTTAGAGTGTCCTATCGGAGTGAGGGCCCACTCCACCAGAGGAATGGCCTCCTCCTGGGCTTGGTCCAGCAGGATTTCTATTGGTGATATCTGTGCAGCCGCTGGCTGGTCTTCGCCATCTACCTTCACCAGGTTTTATACCTTGGACGTCCCTGCCCTCCAGGCACGGATTTTGTCCACCTAATGAACCTAATCCCCTCTGTAAGTGGAGAAGGTCTTGTTATGTGGACCCCAGCCTGGTGGCTTGGGTTTCATAATTGGCTCATGCTTTTAGGAGCCCTCATTACAGGCACTCCAGGGCTGGGCTCGCAGAGCGGCTTCCTTCTGCACTTGCTTATAGCATGGCCTATTGGATGCGTTCCCCATAAGCGTGCAACGCAACAGGAGAGACCGTTCGAAAGGGAACGCTCCAGTTACTGACGTAACCTCGGTTCCCTGAGATAAGGGAACGAGCGATGAGTAAGCTGCCATGCTATAAAGGTACATTCACACGGGGCGTCGGCATTACATGCGCACTGGCATTGCTCGCGGCAGAAGTTGAAAATTTCTCAACTTTTCAAGCGCCAATGGAGCCAATCAGCCAATCAGATCGCCTCATGCAAATAGCCTAGCTCAGGCACTAGCCAATTGCGGTCCAGTGTAATTGGCTGTTGTCACTATGACGATCGCGTCAGCGCCAAGCTTCAGACACGCCCCGTGTGAATCTAGTGTAGCTGCACAAGAGTTGATGACTGTTGCTATCAATCGAAAGATTCTGACGAATGTGCGGGGGACAAATTTACATTTTATTAAAAGTGCGGGGGACACATTCTATGCCCGTGGGCAGGGTTGCCAACTTCAGAAAAGGAAAATATTTGAGATTCAGTTTAAATCACTCAGTCCACTCACGCTCTGAATCATTCGGAGCAGTTTCTCAGTGAAACAGTAACAGGGTAATTTATAAAACATTGTACATTTGATAATCTCGTAGTAGGATTATATAGGCTATATGAAAATATAATATTAGCATAATGCCACCACATAGCATTTTGAAATCTTTGAAGATTTAAGTGCTGTGTCATATTAATTAGTCTTTTAGAGTCTTAAGCTGGCTAAATGTGAGATAGATGCAGTCTTTTTTTTTCCATTTCTACAAGAACAAGAGGTAGTCACATTATTAACCACATTAACTGCCAGAAAAAAAGTACAAACATTTCAGTGCTTTTTTAGGCCTATTAATTTGCAGAGATCACTTCATATGGTATTTTATGTTTTCTTGACATTTCTGGAAAAAAAAAAAGTAAATCAAATATAATTTTTATCATACACCCCATTGTCTGGTAATATAGGTTTCTAAATCCTTCCAAATGTTTTTTTAATAAATACAAAAATTGCAGAATAGTTTCTTTTTCCAGTCCGCATTTTTCCCATAGGCTATTCCAAAACATGCTTATCTGGATCCTGTGTAGTATTTTGTAGGATACTTCTTTAATGTTTTCACTGATACAACATTTGTTTGGCCTTTTCCATGATTTTACCCAGTTCCTCTGTGTAAAACTTTTTTTTAATGTTTATTTTGCGTTCATCAAAGAAAAGAAGGTTAGCTTGCAAATTATTTTTAGGTTATAGTTAAAAATATAATAAACATATATATATTTAGTGAAATATATATAGCTCTTTATGATAGACAATCGTAGGCTATAGAAAGGTAAATATACCAATACTGATGTAAGGCTAGTAACGCCACTGACCACGCCCCCTCCATTTAAGGCGTTGTCATCTGAAGTGTGTTCACTGTTTGTTGTCACGGACGAGCAGAGATGTCAGGAATCGCGACGAAGCTCCAGCAGAACCGGGAGCGAGCAGCGGGCGTCGGTACCAACGCTCATGCGGTCAAATTCCTCAACCAGGACTACGAAGCGCTCAAGCGCGAGTGTCTGGAGAGCGGACGCCTGTTTCAGGATGACACGTTTGAAGCCAATGTATCCGCGCTCGGGTTCAAGGAACTGGGACCAAACTCATCTAAAGTGCGCGGGGTTGAGTGGCTGAGACCAAAGGTGGGTGTAACACAATCATTTAATAAATTATATTTAATAAAGATGTTAAGTATATATATAACTGCAATAAATATAATGAATATGAAATATGCATTAGTAGGCTATTACATGCATATTAAAAATGTATAATTTTTTATACTTTAATTATTTATTAAAAAAGTTTTTTGTCAAAAAAAAAAAAAGGTCTAAACTGAAAGACCAAATTACTCTCAATTTGCTATATTTGCATAACATAAAAAATGTCTGATATTACGTATCCAATGTTTTGATTTCATATTTCTTTGGCATTTATAACACTGACATGGTTGAAGTGTTCACACCCGTCATTACAATGGCAAAACACATTCTTCTCAAACCAGGTTCAAATCTCGACTTTGACTTCTTTTCTTACTTGTTTGCTCTTGTCTAGGCCATCACACCTTGCTCATCTAGTCTAGTTGTTCTGTGTTTGATAATTATAACCGACTATTAGTCTGAAGCTTCCTGGGTGTGTTTACCATCATTGTTTTTCAAGGCACTGCGATTAGGAAACTGCACTTGTCCATTGTTTTAGGTCAATCATATCATTGTGCTACAAATAAATATATACACATCAGTGTTTTAAAGGGGTCATATGATGCAATTTCAATTTTTCCCTGAGGAAATACATCAACTTCGCACTGTCCATCGCCGGATCGGCTTTCACCGTGGATGAAACGGAGTCCAGCCCGGGGTCGTCACATGTGGTTGCCGCTCCTTCGTCGGATCCGCCGGCCGAATCATATGACCCCTTTAATGCATGTGTTTTCTAACACCATCCCGGCAGCCAGGAAAGAACTAAAAAAGTCTACTCTATAATGACCATGCAAAGCCATTGCATGTTAGTCTGAACTTGACAAGCTGCTTCAGAGCCAGACAGACCAGGGAGTTATGGGAACATATACGCCCCTAAGAACATTAGCATATCAAATGTTGCATGCTTATGCTTTGTGATCCACATAATGCATTACTGTTTACCAGAAGACCTTTTAGAGTCCATTAAAGTGAATATGATCCTCACAGCTGGTATGATGGTATTCAAGAATCGTGTTAGTTTGACTCACAGACTCTTCTATGTTTAACAATTAAAATAAAACAATTTAAATGAATAATTATTGAAAAAGATAATATTTAGCTGTCCCACATCTTTCAACCCTGTTGCTGCATGATATTCCCCCCTTATAGAAAATGTAACATTCCTCAAAATTGTAACACCCATGAAGAAACATTCATTGTCAGTTTTTACAAAAATTTCAGTGTTGTCTGCGCAATTATTCTCCCCTGTTACTCACTTTATTGTAATAAAAATTATCAAGCAAATGTATATTTTTAAAATGTACAATAAAGTAAAATTTATAGTAATGTTAAAGATGTATTATTTAATGATTTTTAAATATTTAACATGTATTTCATAAATATGAAATAATAATATAAAAATATATGCATGACTATTAAATGAATATTTAAAAGTTTTAATTTATTAAAATGTTATTATATACTCTACAATATTTTAATTACTTAATATTTAATAAAGCGTATTGGTCCGAACTGAAAGACTAAAGTAGAATCTGTCTGCATGCTAAATTTGCATAACAAGTAAAATTATCTGAAGATTACACTGGCTAAACCTCTAGTATTTAATATTCTGGCATTCATTTTGAAACCATGTTACTGTATGATTTTCCTGTTATAGAAAAAGTAATTTAGAAGATGAAATATAATTTGGACCTTTCCCATGGCAGGAAGGCAAAAGAAAAAAAAAACTAAATTTTCATTATCAATTTTTACAGATTTCAGTGTTGATTGCTCAACCCTGTTACTCAGATAATAATCAAGGAAATATTTTTTCTTTAATATAATACCCGGATGGTAAATATAGGTTAATCAATAACTGCAAACCAACAAAATAAGCACAAAATCTCTAGCTCCTACTGAGTTATGTGTTGTTTAAGCTAATTTTCCCCTGTTGAAAATGTAACTTAAAATTGTAACCCCCCAAGAAGAAACATAATTTGGACCCTTCCCATGGCGGGAAGACAAAATAACTTTTTAAAAAATGTGTAAAAGTTTTACACATTTTTCAGTGTTAATTGCTCAACCATTCAACCCTGTTACTCAGGTAACTGTAATAAATAATGATCAAGCAAATATTTTTCTTTAATTTACGATAAATTGAATTTATTAATAAAACAACAAACCAACAAAATAACCACAAAATCTTAAGTTCCGACTGAGTTGAATGCTATTTAAGCTAAATTTGCAACCCTGTTATTTAGACTCTACTTTTTGTATCCTATAAAGAGCAATTTGTTTAATCATTTTCATTCAGCAATGAACTCATCTCTTGTCAAGGTAAACCAGTGATTCATGTTTTTGGAATGCCTGTTTTTGTCATCCAGCAACTGACGTCCAACCCAACGTTCATTAGCGGAGGAGCAACCCGAACTGACATCTGCCAGGGTGCTTTGGGTGAGTCAATTTATGTATAATATATTTGCCCATTGTGGAGCTAGTGTACGATGAAATTTTAGAAATGATGATAACAAAGATCATATAGAACTGTCCCATATAGAATAGCAAAAAAAAAAAAGACAAACTTAAACGCTGAACCACAAAAGCGTTTTTTCTGGTTGAGGAAGTTTCCTTGGATGGAGGATGGAGGACATTGAAAATCATTAGAATTGTACAGGGAAACACCCTGTTTGAGCAAACTCATTCATTCTGATCCATATTTCTTAAATGATTCGACTGCCAATTTTTTCATAGCTGGGAATTTTATTCATTGCATATGTTCTTAAAGAAACAGAACATATATGTTTTTCTTCAAAATGCAAAGGGTGAGTAATTAGCTGAATGGAAGGGAATTCCTGTTGTACAATATGGGAAAAGCGAAACCTTTTTGTCTACATAGCAACTTTAAGTCCCAAACACACACACACACACCCTGTTAAACCTGTTTTACTCCATACAACACAAACACTGGTGTCCTTTTATCCTGTCTTGGATCAAACGCCACTGTTTTCTCACATGCAAACATGTCCCAAGAGTCAGGAGACTGCAGTTTTCCACTGTAGCTGAAAATGTTTGATACGAGTCCTGATCAGACAATGCCACTGACTTTACTGTCTATTAAGGAAATGTCTGTGATGCAAATGAGTTTGCAAAATGTGTGGGAGCAGGAATAATAGGGCAGGTGGTGTTCTGAAACATGCCAGAACAACTTAAAGGTTATGTTGATAGGAATTTACGTTTTACCAACGATATCGTAGCATGTCATTGTTTTGAGTGTTTGTAGAATGAACAGTGAAATCTAATAAAATATGAAATAAAAATGCAGTTACTGTCCACTTGCAATAGTGAGTCGCAGATTTAGTGAACGCACTATGATATCACATCATCCCGCTGGTTTTGCAGGTGACTGTTGGCTTCTAGCTGCCATCGCGTCTCTTACCCTCAACCAGGACGTGTTCGCCCGTGTGGTCCCGTCTGGACAGAGTTTTGACGGTGACTATGCTGGAATATTTCATTTCCAGGTTAATTACATATATATATATTACCAGAAATACAGTTTATTTTAATGTTTAAGTGTCTGCTGACCAGTATCCTGAACCAATTTTTAATTGTTTTGTTTGCGTTTGACATAAGTTAATATATATTAGAAATAGTTTGTATGTATTTAATTATTTATTACTAAGATACTAATTTATAATTATTGTTTTGTTTGTTTTGTGACATGTTAATAACACAATCTACATAATAATAATTATTATTATTATTATTTATTTGCAGTATTACTATTATTGTTTAAGCTAAGTTGTCTTCAGATCAAGTCAGTTTAATTTTCCTAGTTATTTTTGACTGTTTCATTATAAAGCTACACATTTCTCTCTTAAAATGAAATTTGTCACCATATAGTAGGTATTGTTATTATTATTACATAAGTATTATTATTATTCATTACAATAATATTTATTTAAATATGTATTTATTCATTTATGCAGTTTGTTTCAGTATCACTATTGTTGTTATTTATGCAAAGTTGTTTTCTCATGTAAAAGTCACATTTATTTTTATCGTTTTAGGATGTGTCTCATTATTAAGCTACACATTTCTCTCTTAAAAATTACATTTGTTACCAAACATTCAGAAAAAGCAGCGCTGTTATATCTACTTGACATTAGTCCATAAAGACGTTTGTCAAACATTCCATTAATGTCTTCATACGTCTATTGTCTCTTCAGTTCTGGCAGTTTGGTGATTGGGTGGATGTGGTCATTGACGACCGTCTTCCTTCCAGGAACAGAAAGCTGCTGTTCGTCCACTCTGCCGAGGGCTCTGAGTTTTGGAGCGCCCTGCTAGAGAAGGCCTATTCGAAGTGAGTAGTCATTAGATTCAAACTCATTTAGCATGTCTAAGTGGACTAGACTACCTCAGAAATAATAACGAAATGCAACTTCTTGTTCTCAGGCTGAACGGCTGTTATGAAGCTCTGTCTGGTGGCACCACCACCGAGGGCTTTGAGGATTTCACTGGAGGCATCGCTGAGGTCCATGAACTAGCGAAAGCAGGTCCAAACCTCTTCAAAATCATCCTGAAGGCTTTGAGCTGGGGCTCGCTGCTGGGCTGCTCGATAGATGTGAGAAACTTCATATTTACATGTGTGTTCAATTGCGCAACCTTGTAATTACTAGGAGTGTGTAACTGGATCTGTCGTGTAGCTGTCAGTGAACTGGAATTGATAATCGTGCAAAACCGGTTCTGTTGTGTATTTGTTAATGATGTTTGTTTTGTTTCGGTTTGGTTTAGATCACAGACTCCGCTGATTCAGAGGCCATTACTAGTCAGAAGCTGGTGAAAGGACACGCCTACTCGGTTACAGGAGCCGATGAGGTTAGTGGTGACTAGTAACGACTAGAATTTATATTTATAGGATAGTTCATGTAAAAATTAAACTTCTGTCATCATTTACTCACCATCATGTTGATTTAAAACTGTGTGAGTTTCTTTCTTCTGTTGAACACAAAAAGAAGATATTCTGAAGAATGTTGGTGACCAAACATTGACGGTAGCCATTGACTTCCATAGTTTTTGTTCCATACTATAGAAGTCAATGGCTACCGTCAACTGTTTGGTTTAATAACATTCTTCAGGATATCTTCTTTTGTGTTCAACAGAAGAAAGAAATTAATACAGGTTTATAACAACATAAGTTATAACAACGTAAGAGTAAATGATGACAGAAGTTTAATTTTTGGGTGAACTATCCATTTGAATTGGTTTGCATATGGAATATGATTTTTGACTGATTGTTACAGGTCGAGTACAGGGGCGACTTAACCAAACTGATTCGCATCAGGAACCCCTGGGGGCAGATGGAGTGGACCGGAGCCTGGAGTGATGGGTGGGTGACTCGGAGTTGGCTTCAAATCACACAGTGTAACATGTCTGTAAATTAATAAGCATGTAAAGTTCCATTTCTGAAATCCAGCTGTGGAAACCAACTGTGGTTTCGCAGAGAGTAACCACACCCACCTGTGGCTCTATTCAGACAGTATGAGTTTCTATAGGAACTCTGTTTAAGCCCTTATGCCCTCGGGTGTAGGAAGGATAGGTTGAGTGCCGGCCATCTTCCTCATCACGCAGTGTACACCTAACTTCCTCGTTCCACAACAAAATCAACAGATATTGAACCCCTGTGTGAATACAGGGGTATATATATATATATACATATATATACATACATTAGGGGTGTAACGGTATA